TCAGCTTGGGGCACAGCACCCATCACCTGTAATCCCAGCACTGGGGAGGCAGGACAGGAGGAGCAGTGAAATACCCTGTCTCAAAAAAGGGAGGGAGGGAGAGGACAATGGGTAAGGGCACTTGCCACCAACTCTGATGCCCTAAATTCAATGTCTGCCCACTCCCAACACCACATAGTGGAATGACAGAACCGGCTCAAGTTGACCTTTGACCCCAAGAAATGCAGTGTGGCTTGCCCACAAACTACACAATAAATAAATAAGTGTTTGGGCTGGGCGGTGGTGCACGTCTCTAATCCCAGCACTCAAGAGGCAAAGGTAGGCGAATCTCTGAGTTTGAGGCCAGCCTGGTCTACAGAGCAAGTTCCAGGACAGCCAGAGCTACACAAGGAAACCCTGTCTCAAAAAAAAAAATAGTAGTAGTAGAAGTAGTAGTAGTAATAATAATAATAAATGCTTAAAAATAAAAGCCATCAGCCAAGGCTATGCAAAGAAACCCCATCTCAAAAACAAACAAATAAATAAATATAAATAATAAAAATATTAAAAAGGAGGATGGTGCCTGAAGAATGCCATTAGGCTGTCCCCTGGGCTCCATGCACACACACCACACCCATAGTCTAAGGTCATCCTCAGCTATACTGAAGCCAGCCTGGGATACATCAAACCCTGTGTAAAAGCAAAACAAAACAACAAGAAACTGACAGGTGGTTATGGGAACCTGGAGTGCAGCTCCGTTGAGGATCACGGGTTTAGCAGACAGGACCCAGAGGTCCATCTTCACTTACAGTGACACTAGGGCTTTAATGGAAAGCAGCTGAGCTTCTCCATTCAAGGGCTGAAGAAACCACAGTGCACAGTGTCCCTAGCTATCCTAGCCAACCCGCAGTGATGGCTGTGAGCTGTGAGCTGAAGCCATCACTGCGGGAAGTCAGAGGCAGGAGCTGATGCAGAGGCTATAGAGCAAAGCTGCTTACCGCTTTGCTCCTTGTGCCTTGCTCAGCCTGCTTTCTTATAAAACTGAGCATCACCAGCCCAGGAATGGCACCACTCACAATGTGCTGGTCTCTCCCACGTCAATCATTAATAAAGAAAATGTACCACCATGTTGATGCATTCCCCAGCATTCGGGAGGCAGAGGCAGGTGGATATCTTAGTTCAAGGCCAGCCTGGTCTACATCATGAGTTCTAGGACAACCAGAGGTACACAGAGAAACCTCAGAAAAGAAAGTAGTGGGGTGGGGAGAAAGAAAGAAGGAAGGAAGGAAGAAAGGAGGAAAGAAAGAAAGGAGGGAGGGAGGAAGGAAGAAAGGAGGAAAGAAAGAAAGGAGGGAGGGAGGAAGGAAGAAAGGAGGGAGGGAGGAAGAAAGGAAGGAAGGAAGCAAGCAAGGAAGGAAGAAGATGCCCCCCACAGGCCAATGGAGGCATTGCTTAACTGAGGGTCCCTCTTCCCAGGTGACTCTAGCTTGCATCAAGTTGACAGAATAAGTCCAATGGTTAAATACTACTGGGCCAGGAACAAGAGGGGACTGACCCCATGGCAATGCTTCCAAATGACAGTCAGTGGACAGAGTCTAAAGGTCACACATATCACTCATCACCACGTGCCCCCAACCCCATCACCAGGGATAGAACCCAGGCTCAGCCTCCTCTCTCTCTCTCTCTCTCTCTCTCTCTCTCTCTCTCTTTCTCTCTCTCTCTCTCTCTCTCTCTCTCTTTCTCTCTCTCTCTCTCTCTCTCTCTCTCTCTCTCTCTCTCTCTCTCTCTCTCTCTCTCTCTCTCTCTCTCTCTCTCTCTTTCTCTCTCTCTCTCTCTCTCTCTCTCTCTCCCCTCTCACTGAGCTTCATCCTCGGCCCCCATTTTTCATTACTTTTCTTTTTGAGACAGAATCTCAGTAGGTTGCACAGGCTGGCCTCGAACCTACGCTGTGGCTCAGTATAGCCTGGGTGTTTTGTTTTGTTTTTAAGACGGGGCCTTGCCATGTATGTAGCTCAGGCTGGCTTTGAACTCTCCATCCTTCTTCCTCAGCCTCCTGAGTGCCGGGATTGCAGATGTGCACCTGCATAGCCTCAAGGCTCAAGGTGGGGATGAACCCCAGGCAGATCAAGAATGGGCACAGAGACTCGTGGGATTTGCCTTACTTGTGGTGGCCACACGGCTTTACACGTTTGCCAGCCCATGAAAACGTGTGTGAAAAAAGGGGTGAATTTCAGGAGGCAGAAATTACACCTCTATTTTTTTAATTAAGAAAAATGAGATCATGTTTCTTGCCGGAGCTTCGCATCAGGTTACGCGGAAAGATAATGTGGGTAATTTAATGCAAAATGCTCAAAGGGAAACTGTGGGTTATTTTAGATCTCCTTTTTTAAAATATCCCCTAACGAAGTTCCCTAGGAGCCGTTTTAAGCAATGTAGGCATTAAAGTAAGTATAGGTTGGCCAGGGCTGGAATCCCTATGCTGGAGGGGCTGAGGAAGGATTGGGAACCTGAGGTCAGCCTGGGCGACACAGAGAAACTTTAACTTAAATCAATGAACCAATCAAATTGAGCAGGATAGCGGTCTTGATTAGGGTCACTATCACTGTGCTGAAACACCATGACCAAAAGCAGCTTGGGGAGGAAAGGGTTATTTCACTCACAGTTCCACAGCATCAAAAGCAGTGAGGGCAAGAACTCACACAGAGCAGGACCATGGAGGCAGGGGCTGATGCAGAGGCCATGGAGGGTGCTGCTTACTGGCTTGTTCCCATGGCTTGCTCAGCCTGCTTTCTTATAGAACTCGGGACCACCGGTCCAAGAATGGCATCACCTACAGTTTACTGGGGCCTCATCAATCACTAATCTAAAACACGCCCTACAGACTTGCCCAGAGCTGGATCTGATGGAAACGTGTTCTCAGTTGAGGTTCCCTCCTCTCAGAGGGCTCTAGCTCGTGTCAAATTGACGTAAATCTAACTGGCACATAATCCTAGCACTTGGGAGACGGAGGTGGGAAGTCAATCCCAGGTCCCATGAGGTTAAGAAGAGAAACAAGTCTCACAAGTTGTACTCACACATCACACAGACACACACATACACATGCACACACACACATATACACACATGCATGCGCCCGCATGCACACACATGCACATATACACGCACACATGTACATGCACATACACATATGCACACGTGCATGCATACACATGTACACGCATGCACACGTGTACATACATACATCACACATATACACATGCACGCACACACGCACACATATGTACATATACATACACATTTGTACATGCACACGCATACACATATACACACATATACACGTGCATGAACATGTACATACACATGCATGAACATACACATGCACACACTAAATTTTTTTTCAAGACAGGGTTTCTCTGTGCAACCCTGGCTATACTGGAACTCACTTTGTAGACCAGGCTAACCTTGAACTCACAGAGATCCCCTTGCCTCTGCCTCCCATCATGCGTGGCAATAAAACAATTCTTTTGGGGGGGCGGGGTTCAAGGCAGGGTTTCCTTGTTTAACAGTCCTAAACTGTCCTGGAGCTAGCTCTTGTAGACCAGGCTGGCCTCAAACTCACAGGGATCCACCTGCTTCTGCCTCCTGAGTGCTGAGATTAAAGGCGTGCGTCACCATGGCCCGGCTAACAATACTTAAAGGTAAACAAAAGAAATATATTCCTTTGAAAAGGAAAATTACAAGGCACTAATGCAGGGAACTCAGCATGGGTTAGAGACCAGCCTTGGCTACATAGTTAGGCTTGTGCATACTTGGTACAGAGCGAGACCCTGTCTCAAAGAAACTGTCTTGAATCCTCCCCCCCCCCCCGCCACCAAACATCAAAAATAGAAACTGAGATTTTCAAAAAACAGATGTGATGACTCGTGTCTATAATCCCAGCACTTTGGAGGCCGAGGCAGGATGATTTCTGTGAGTTCAAGGCCAGCCTGAGCTACAAAGTTTGACCCTTGTCTCAAGGAAGTTCAGAAGAAAGGGAGGGAGGGAGGGGAGAGGGATTTGAACAGTCTGAAGCAAGTGACCAGTTACTGCTTGCCTCTTCCAGCTGAATATACTGTGGATATTTTTTGTCAAGCCCTTTCTCCTAGCACCAGCGCCTTGGGTTAAATGTTGTACTATGCAATGAAAGGCTGAGCATCCTGCCTGACTGGAATCAATCACTCAAACTGTGACAGCCTCTCCCTCCTCCACCCTTCAAGCGCAAATCACCTCTTCAGAGCAGCACTGTCCGCAAACCAGCGTAGGGCCCTGTAAGGCATGGTCAGGATAGCCCCCATCACCAGCACGGGCACGGAGACTCAAAGGGCAGGAGACCGTCCTCAGCAGTTTTCCCAGAGTGACTGACAGTACACAGGGTCGAGCAAACAGTGGGCCCCCAATAATTACTCTTTTGTGAGGCCACAGGACTGGAGATAGAACCCAGGGCCTTGCATGTGCCAGGGTAAAGCTTTAGCCTTGAGCCCAGTCCAGCCCCGATTATTCTCTGGTGTGTATGAAGGAGCAGACTGTTGCATGGAGAAGCCCAACCCTACTCAGCCATGAAAGGCTTGGCTACACACGGACCTCCCAGAAAAGGAAATGTTGACCCAAGACCCATGTCCTGCGCTGCATCCAAATTTAGATAGGGGACAGCCATCCCCTCCCTTCCTGGTTGCTGTCTGTTCCTATCAGGGGTGGGTCTTAGGCTGCAACCTGGCAACAGAATGTGTGCTGTTGGCTGCCCAGGCAACCAGGGCTCGCTCAGCCTTGGGCTTCTGGGAGTTCCAGGCAGGGGCAGCACTCTCTGTCTATGCCCCTCAATTTTGCTAAGGCGGCTGAAGATACCTGAAGGTGAATGGCAGTGGCATGGGAGGAGTATTTCCGACTGGTCTTCCAAGAGAAAGCGCCTGTGTGAGTGCTGCCAGGAGCGGGTGGGTGGGGTGAGAGGGGGGTGAGTAGACAGATTGGTCATCCCTTCTCCTGGAGTCCCTGCAGCCTTTGGCCAGTCTTGTGGTGGGCTGCAAAGGCCCTAAGAGAATCTCTAGCTCAGACCCTACACGTCTCCCCCAAGGTTTTGTTAGAGCCCAGCTGGTCCCTGCGCTCCTAGGATAGCTAGCCTGCTCCTGTCCCAGCCTTGGCCAGTATCTTACAGAGATGAAATCCTTGAACCAGGGTGGAAAAGAGTTTTCCAGCGAGCTGCTGTGGAGTGGAGAAGTGGCATTTTAAGGATATCAGCCCTGTGACACTTTGTTTGGGCACAGTGGGACACCCTGGCCCTAAAAGTAGGTATCTGTAAAACTAGGAGGAGTGGACACTTCTGATGATGGCAGAGCTGGGCAAGCCAGTTGAGTGAGAAGTCAGACTCTGTCTGACTCCTTCCCATCCTTCCGGGAGAGCCAGGCGCCCACACTCAGCCTCTCTTAGACCACTCCCCAGAGAGGAATGCCCCCTCTCTGTGCGGTCAGAGCAGGGACCAGTTTCTACACCCCATCTGCTCAGCCTATAGTCATCCTTCCAAGTGACACCTTTACAGCTACAGAGGCCAGAGTTCATCTTTATTCCTCTCTCACCCCGCCCCGCTCCATCAGCTCTGTCATCAAGCTGTAACCAGAATGGATCCATCCTCCCCTGTCAATCCTGCCCGCTCTGATCAAAATGACATTCTTTCTGGGGTCCCTACGCCCCACCACTGAGCACACATGGTCCCCAGCTCCTCACAGCAGCCACAGGATTGTCTACTCCACTCAAAGCCTGCCCATGGCTCCCATCTCACCAAGAGTCGTTGCCAAGGTCTTCTTTCCCCATGGCCCGCCACTGTCTGACTTTGGACAGCTCTGATTTTCATTTCCACCCGCCATCTCCCCTCTCCACTCTCGACTTGATGGTTCCTTCAGCAAACCCAGGTGTTTCGCTAGGATCCTGGGTCTTTCTTGGCTGTTCCCTTGGCCTGCAGCTGTCAGTGCTACTCGCTCCCTGTGGCCTTTTGCTCAGAGAGACTTTCTGACTCCATATTGAAAACTGCCTCTGGCTTTTCTGTGCCGATATCGCACCCGCCAACATGGTGAACGTTCCTAAGACCCGCCGTACATTATGCAAGAAATGTGGCAAACACCAACCCCACCAAGTGACCCAGTACAAGAAGGGCAAAGATTCTTTGTATGCCCCGGGAAAGCGGCGTCATGACAGGAAACAGAATGGCTATGGTGGGCAGACTAAGCCTAGTTTCTACAAAAAGGCGAAAACTACAAAGAAGATTGTGCTGAGACTGGAATGTGTGGAGCCCAACTGCAGATCTAAGAGGATGCTGGCTATTAAGAGATGCAAGCATTTTGAACTGGGTGGTGATAAGAAGAGAAAGGGCCAAGTGATCCAGTTCTAAGCTGACCTTGTTATGAAGACAATAAAATCATGAGCTTTCACTCAAAAAAAAAAAAAAGAAAAGAAAAAGAAAACTGCCTCTGGCCCACGGAACTTTACATGCCAGGGGCCACCGTGTGGTGGAGCAGTGTTTGCTGTTATTATCTGCGTTCGCTGTCTGTGGTGGTGGTGGGGGGTGTAGTTTCCATCAACATGAGTTTCTGTCTGTCTTCTTAATGACTGCAATTACTCTAACTAGGTACACTACCTGGTATAGAACAAGTGGTCAGCAAACCTGTGAACAATTTAAAAACCCGAAAGCCAGTAGGCATGCCAGCCTCAAGTCTGCCATCCTAACATTCAAGAGGTAGAGGCGTGTGGCTCAAGAGTTCAAGGCCATCCTCAGCTACAAAGTTAGCTCAAGGCTAACCCCACTTACAAAAAAAAAAACCAACTAACTCAGTAAGTGATGAGTGGGGGCCATTCCAGGCACCCCCAGGAGTCTGGGGCCCCAAATCTTCTTCTTGTAACCTCCTTCTCTTTGGGTCCCTCCAGGAAGCCGGTAGAGCAGAATATGGTCCGCTTTCCACCTCTGCTGAGTCTCCTGGAGAAGAAGCAAGAGCTAGCAGCTGCAGACCAGGGTCTGAAGGTCCAGAAGGAGGTGAGCCTCAGTTGCTGAAATTTGGGGTGCCCTCAGGCACACACTGGTGGTGCCCAATGGAGGTTACACAGTCTGGAGTGAGTCTGCTCTGAGCCCTGATGCTCCTATCTATCAAAGGAAGATCTAGTGAGAACACACGTGTGAGCATGGGGCACCTACTGCGTGCTGTGCTCAGCACTGGCCCTTGCCCTCCTGAGTCTCACAGTCTGGAGAGGAAAACAGGTGTCCAGGTAGGGGTTGCCGAGCGGGAAGGTACTGGGCAAAGGCTGTCAGATTCTGGGGGGAACCTCTGCTCCCCAGTGAGAGTGGACAAGCAGGACTTCCTGGAGGACAGGAGGGAGGGAGGGAGGGCTTAGGGACTGTGGGTGGGCAAACCAGATAATGCAGCAAAGGAAGAAAGGAGAAAGAGCAGGAAAGGGGGACATTTAAAACAAAAACCAGGGGGCTGAGAGATGGCTCAGAGGTTAAGAGCACTGCCTGCTCTTTCAAAGGTCCTGAGTTCAATTCCCAGCAACCACATGGTGGCTCACAGCCATCTGTAATGAGATCTGGTGCCCTCTTCTGGCCTGCAGGTATACACGCAGACAGAATGCTGTATACTTAATAAATAAATAAATATTTAAAAAAATATATTAAAAAAAACAGAATTCAGGGACAAAGCTCAGAAGGTCATGGAAGTGGAGAGATGGATGAGCCATTGTTACCCTGACTGCTCTTAAAGAGGATCTGAGTTCAGGTGCCTGCACCCATATCAGGGGCCACATAACAGCCTGCAACTCTAGGGGATCCAGCGCCCTCTTCTGGCCTCTGAAGGCACTGCACTCACATGCACGCACCTTTCCCCTAAATACACACAATTTAAAACATAATATTAAAAAAAAAAGTTTGGATGCTCACCTTCCTAGACCTGGATGGAGGGGGGAGGACCTTGGACTTCCCACAGGGCAGGGAACCCTGACTGCTCTTTGGACTGGAGGGAGGGGTGGGAAACGGGAGGAGGTGGAAACTTTTAATAATAAATTTTTTTAAAAAAAAATTAAAAAAAAAAAAAGCTCGGAGGGTCAGGTAGCTGAAACATGGAACGTCTGGAAAAGAAGTGTGAAAAGGTTGGGAGTTAGCATTCAAAGCACACAGGGGGATATAGGATGTGTTCCAGGGAGCTGGGAACATCAGGCGACCTGACATCTCTAACTGCACCCCACTCCAAGGAGTTCCACAGCAGGATGGCCACCCTGAGCCAGCGCTGGGCACAGCTGGGACAGAAAGAGCAGGCGCTGAAGGAGTCCTTCATCCGCTTTGACAAATTCCTGCAGGTCAGTGAATGATGAGGGCCGGAGGTGGATCGCAGGGGCTCCTGCTTGCCACTCTAGAGTGGCCCCCACCTAGAAAAGCCTCCTGAAGTGGGGAAATCAGATTGCCAGAGGGTGGAGGAGGAGCAGTAACACAACCTCCGCGAGTCTACACTAAGAGAGGGAATGTCGCGGCTGGTGGAGGCCGCGAGTCCTGAGGTTCCCTGATTTCCATCCTCCTCAGGAAGCCGAGGCCCGGCGAGGCCGCGCGCAGCGGAGAGCAGCTGAGGAGGGGCACGGAGTGCGACTCCGGGAGGCAGAGGCGCTGCGGCTGCGCGCACAATTGCAGGAGCTGCGGCGGGAGCGCGCCCGGCTGCAGCGCAGGCTGCGGCGCCTGGAGCCCTGCGCGCGCCTGCTGGAGCGCGTGCTGGAGCAGCTGCCGGAGGTGAGCGGCGCTGGGGGGCGTGGGGACCGCTTTGTTCTGAAGTTCTAGTCAGTGCTGACTGTGTACAAGAAACACCACCTCACGGTATACCAGGGATGCGCTGTTTTCTAGTCATCCTCTAAATCCGGTCAAGTGGGTCCTGTTATTGGCAACAACCTCATACTACAGGTCAAAAAAAAAAAAAAAAAAAAAAAGTTGCAGAAGGTTCATCTGTCCTTACGCAGTCAAGTGTGTGTGTGTGTGTGAGAGAGAGAGACAGAGATACAGAACAGAAAGACAAAGGACAGATAATAATATAAATTTTATTATTTGTGGAAGATTAGGTTTGGGGGAGAGATATTGTGTGTGTGTGTGTGTGTGTGTGTGTGTGTGTGTGTGTTTGGTTGATTTGTTGAGAAGTGAGAATATAGCCCAGGCTAGTCTTGAGTTCCCTACATAGCTAAGGCCACCCTTCAACTCCCCGAACCCTTGACAGGGTCTCTCTGTGTAGCCCTGCCTGTCCTGAAACTCACTCTGTAGACCAGGCTAGCCTTGAACTCAGAGATCCGCCTGTTTCTGCCTCCCCAGTGTTGGGGATTAAAGACATGCGCCACCACCTGCAACACCACTGCTCCAAAACCTTCACCTTACTCCTCTCACCTCAGCCTTGTGCTGCCATGATGCCCGGCTCTAGTTTGGGTTTGTTTTTGTATTGTTTTGCCTTATTTGTTTGAGATGGGGTCCCATTCTGTAGCCCAAGCTAACCAGGTACTCAGTATGTAGTTGAGCTGGCTCCAGCCTCAATCTCTCAAGTGCTGGCATTCCAGGTAACAGCCTTGGTAAAGTTCCTTGAATGAACAAGTGGTGTCAAGGAAAAGTTGTGGCGCCTAGCCAGCTCAGCTAGGTTTGATCATGGAGGCGAGAAGGTCATGAACAGGGCTCACTCAAATCCCGTTATCCTTGCTTCAGGGCCTGAGGTGTCCCATGACACATCTGGACAGAGGACGCTTCTGAGGGGTGTTGGCTAGTCAGGTGGGGAGAACAGGGGCATTGCAGGCCATGCGAGTCCCCTCTCCAGTTTCAGGAGATTCCGGAACTGGTGGCGCGCTTTGATGGCCTGGTAGACACACAGGCAGCATTGAAACTGGCAGAGCGCAAGCGACAGGTGGAGCTGGACGAGACCCATGCTCAGCTGTATCGTCTTCGGGAAACGAAGCAGGATGAGCTGCTGCGCCTGGGCCAGCAGCGTGCACAGCTGCGAGAGCAGTTGGAGGCAGCGCGTGAGCGCACACTGCAGTGGGTGAGCGTCCCCGGGGCTGGAGTGGACACACCCGCTGAGCTAACCACAAGGGCTGGGGCACCACATTGCCAAGGGTACCAGATAGTGTTTGTTCCCACCCCACATGGGTGCACCTGTCGGGTGGTGCAGCCTCCCAGACCCCAGGACCAGGTCCTGACTTTATAGCGATCTCTGCATGTGCGTTCTGTAGGAATCCAAGTGGACTCAAATCCAGAACACTGCAGCGGCCAAGACGCTGCTCCTGGGACGCACTCGAATGGCTGTGCTCAACCTGTATCAGCTTGTGCGCCTGCGCCAGAGTCAGCCTCTAGCCCTGGACGTGGAAGACACCGAGGGGCAGCTAGAGGAGGTGAGGCTCTCTGTCGCTCCTTACCCAGCCCCCACTATTGGGATGCCTCAGGGTTAAGGGTCTAGTGACTTCCTGGCCCCACACCCGGCTGCCTGGACTGTATCCGCCACGACTGCCTGTGGATTTGTGTGCCCTTTGCAGTACTGGCTAGTCACCGAGGCCAGTTCGTCTGAGCTGCCATGGCTCTTGTGATGCACACACCAAGTCCAGGAGGGTCCCGGTGTCATGTGAACCAGGCTGTCTTTGGCAGGGTCTCACTTAAGCCCAAGCTTACCCCAAACTAGGTAGCAGATAACCTTGAACTACTCACCACCACCACCCACCCACCACCCACCTCCATCTTCTGAGTGCTGGGATCACAGGTGTGCTGTGCATCTGGTCTGGCTGAGTTAGTCCCTTTTCAGCATGCCTCCGCTCTATGAGGAAGGCCCGGGGAAGGACGGTGGGCCTCTCCTGCCCACACTCCAGGCCAGGAATCAGTGATAAACTGTCACCCGACCTCACTGTCACTGCTATGCCTAGGGATGGCTATTCTGCTTTTTTCTCCTTTGGTGCTGTGTCCTTAATATATATTTACCCAGGTGATGGACATGAAGAGGGTCCAACAGGCTGCTGGGAGCTTCCCTTACTTCACAGCAGTGGCCTATGGGTGTCCGTTACGTTCATATAAATGAACAACTAGCACCACATAAAGGACACCATGGAGATGGCTACAAACAAGCCTGATCCAAAGAAAATATCACCTGACGTGGTGGGACACTGGGTTGGCAGGGAGCCAGCTGGAAACTGGCAAAGTGGTTACAGATCATTCAGTGGCTGGCCATGGTGGCTCAGGCCTTTAATCCCAGCACTCTGGAGGCAGAGGCAGATGGATCTCTGGGAGTTCGAGGCTAGCCTGGTCTACAGAGAGAGCTCCAGGACAGCCAGTGCTACAAAGGGAAACACTGTCTCAAAACACTCAGGAGGCAGAGGCAGGTGGATCTCTGTGAGTTCGAGGCCAGCCTGGTCTACAAGAGCTAGTGCCAGGACAGGCTCCAAAGCTACAGAGAAACCCTGTCTCAAAAAAAAAAAAAAAAAAAAAAAAAAAAATTCAGTGGCATACACCTGTATTTTCAGGAGACTGAGGCAGGCGGATTTGCCATGAGTTAGAGAACAAGTTTGAGCTGTACTTGACAGTAAACAAGACAAACATTTGGGAGGCTGTACTGGACACCATCAATGCCTCTCCCG